AAAATGCTACTCTGGAATTCAACTTTAATCATCATAAAGTAAGTATTTAAAGTAGCTTTAAAAAAAAAGAAAAATCTTAAGCGTCTTCTCCACAAATATTAGTAAAAAGCTTTAACCATTTGAGCAGTTAACCTTAACTTATTCCGTCTGCCAAAGACACAATTTGGATCCAATTTCTTCTATAACTGGTGAATTTTGTAATTTTGCATCTGATTCATGGCTAAAATTTTAGAACAAAAGCTATAAACTCTGTTTGTATCAGTTTGTATGTTGATGTGTGTTTCCATATGTATGTTGTAGATGTGAGTTTTTTCCTACTTTAAGGAAATATTGCCAAAATAATTTGTTTAAAAATTCTATTTAACTGGCTTAAAGAAAATTAAGCATATTGACTGAAGAAAAATGCACAAAAATCTAAACATTTTTAAGATTAAAAAAAAGATTTATTTTTCACTGTGTGGGGTCATTGTTGTTATGTGGGGATTTTCTCTAGTTGTGGTCCACGTGCTTCTCATTTCAGTGGCTTCTCTTGTTGCAGAGCACGGGCTCTAGGCATGTGGGCTTCAGTAGTTGTGGCTTATGGGCTCAATAGTTGTGAAGCACAGGCTTAGTTTCTCTGAAGCATGTGGGATTTTCCCAGATCAGGGATCTAACCCATTTCTCCTGCACTGGCAGGTGGATTCTTCACCACTTAGCCACCAGGGAAGCCTGTTTTAATTGAGATTTGTTCAAGGAATCTTTCTGTGGACCATAGCCTGGAAGACATCCTCTCAGCTCTGAGGAACTGCCCTCATGAGGTAAGGGAGGAGCCAGGATACACAGTTTTCTGCTGGAAAAAAAGATATGTAGTCTAACAACAAAAGATTATGGATAATTGGGCCTTCCCTGGCAGTCCAATGGTTAAGACTCCCAGCTGGGGACACGGGTTCCATCCTGGGTTGGGGAACTAAGATCTCGCAGGCTGCACAACTCTTAGTTGCAACATGCAAGATCTAGTGCCCTGACCAGGGATCAAATGTGTGCCCCTCTGCATTGGAAGCATAGAGTCTTGCTGTAGGGAAGAGGCAATTCTGACTCCAAGGTGGATCTGTTTGTTTGACTTTAACCTTTGTTTTTCATCACTTTTGTTACTGTGTGCCATCCACAGGGCCTTTCTGTCCATGGGAATTTTCCAAGCAAGAATACTGGAGTTGGTTGCCATGCCCTGTTCCAGGGGATCTTCCTTGGTCAGGGATCAATCCCACATCTCTTATGTCTCCTGCATCGGCAATTGGGTTCTTTATCTTCAGCTTTATGAGGCTGAAGCTGAAGCTCCAATACTTTGGCCACCTGATGGGAAGAACTGACTCATTTGAAAAGACCCTGTTGCTGGGAAAGATTGAAGGCAGGAAGAGGGGATGACAGAGGATGAGATGGTTGGATTGCATCACCAACTCGATGGGCATGAGTTTGAGTAAGCTCTAGGAGTTGGTGACGGACAGGGAAGCCTGGCGTGCTGTAGTTCATGGGGTTACGAAGAGTCAGACAACTGAGCAAATGAACTGAAATGATTTCTCTTTCAGTGAAGGGCCCCATACTCCATCTGATATGGAGACCACTGAGCTCTTAAAACTCAGCTTATCACCTTTCCTCCAAACCTGTTCCATTTCAGGGAGTAGCACCACCAACCATCCTGTCACCCAAGCTGGACACCTGGGAGTCATTCTGGGATCCCCCTTTCCCTTCCCTCATTCCCACCGCCTTATTTGTCTGTCCACTAAGCCAGCTGGCCTCTCTTCATCTCCTGCGGTACCTTTCCCATCCAGGACATCATTCTCTCTAGTTAAGCTGTGGCCATAGCCTCCGGCTTGTCCTCCCTGCCGTTGTACTTGCCCTTCTCCAGTTCATCATTTTCATTACAGTCTCAGTGATGATTGTAAAATGTGCCCCTAATGTTGCACTTTATCCCATTACCCTCAGGATAATGAACCAATTCTTTAATGTGGTTTATAAAAAAGGTGAGCATATAATGTATTGGGACAAACTGGGACAATTTGAAAACTGAAAGGAGACACTTTCAGTAATTACACCAGGACAATGTGACTGCCCCAGACAAACTGGGAGGAGATGTCCCCATAAGTATAAGGTCCTCTTGCCGATTTTGCCTTGTTTCAGGTGCTGGTCACTCTGCCTGGAACACCAGTGCAGGCATGAGAGTTTATTCATTGGGCAATGAGGAGTGGGGAATTTTTGAACTGAGGATGCAATACTGGCAGTAGTAATAGCACGTCATGTTTGACCAGTAGTTTACATTTTTCAAAACACATTTATGGTGTTTGTTGAATAATGAATTCTTTGGTATATCAGTTTATCGAGGACAATGTATTAGGTGCTGAAGGACATTGATTTTTATATGTTTAAGTAAGTGATTTTGGACGTTGAACATAAGTGATTTTTAGCTTTATTGAACCATGGATCCCTTTGAGAATCTAGTGCAATCCATGGACCCATTTTGTCTACAGATGTATATTCAAGTCATATTCTATGCGCCTTCATAGGAGGAACTTAGAGGTTAAAGAATCTCTACTACAGATTTTATGATTGATTCAGTGGTATATTAATATAGACTCATTTTTAGCCACTAATGAAATTGTAAAATGCAGATGGAAAGTGTAAATTTTTTTGTGACCTCGTACCCTGCTCTAAGTCTAACCTGTAAAAAGTATCATTAATGATAACAAATGTTTTCCCCAATTTAGTGCTTTGTGAATAATAAAATAAATAGGTTATGTGGCAATGTCCACAAGGTTGTTTTTGAGGACACTCAGGAGACCCCTTAAATATGTTTGAATCTGTAATGCTATATGTTTGTTTCCATATTGTAAAAACATGTGTTTTCTTTGCAGTATGTCATCAAAAAGCTGAACCTCCAAAATGCCTCCAGCCGAGAGCGGCGAGCTGCTGAACAGGAAGCTCAGCTCTTGTCTCAGCTGAAGCACCCCAACATTGTCACCTACAAGGAGTCGTGGGAGGGTGGGGATGGTTTGCTGTACATCGTCATGGGCTTCTGTGAAGGAGGTGATCTGTACCGAAAGCTCAAAGAGCAGAAAGGGAGGCTTCTGCCTGAGAGCCAGGTGGTGGAGTGGTTTGTTCAGATCGCCATGGCTCTGCAGGTACTGTTGGGACTCAGAGCATTCCACTTGCTCCAAGGTGACAGAAGGATCGCTGGCGCATTTTAGGGAAATGATTCCCCAGATTTATTCATGAAAAAGAAAGATAAAACATTTAAAAACTCCATTTATGACGTATACCTAGTCTGTCTTGCTTTAGCATTGGAATATTTCTGAATAAGTAAATACTGTATTGAAGCAGACATTGGATTTTATCTGATGGCTGGAGAAGGTAGTTCTCTTCATTTAAATATTATAGCAAAATCCTTTTTAAGGGCCCTTAATTGAGAAAAACCAAAGAATGACCGTGTTTGTTATCTGTTGGTCAGCTGCATCATACTGAATGGTGGTTGAGGTAATTAATGTGCCCAAACTGTGGGGCTTTGGGCTCTAACTCTGCTGTGGCAGAGTTAGTAGAAATGTGAACCATGTTTGTGTTTTAATATACATATTGTCAAAAGTGAGACTGTTCATGAAATATCACTCTGGGACTAGTCTGGCTTGCCCAGAATTTACTGTGTTTAAATATAAGTTTTTTCCCTCTAAATAAAAGTGATGTTGTTATAGTTGGAAACGTTATTAACCTGAAGATTTCATGAGCCTGAGAGGAATGCGAATCTAACTTTGTCTAAGCTGCCTTTTTACCTTCAATGGCAGTTTGAAAGCATGCTTTTCAACTGGATCCATATAATGCTAGGTGGTATGACTGTCAAGGCACCAGGGAACAATTGTGAAGGAAGTTGGGCCAATTAATGCATAGAACTTAATTTCTTACTTTGAGACGTTGTAAATTAGACCTTTTATTTAGCAACTATAAAGAATAGTGTTTTGATATGTGGGTAACTAAGGCTCTTTAACTTACACAATTGTTGACGGTATATAAGAAGTCAAAAATAAGTTGACAAGTGTATTTATATTGAATGCAATGTTCTTTTTCTTCAGTATTTACATGAAAAACACATCCTCCACCGAGATCTAAAAACCCAAAATGTCTTCCTGACAAGAACAAATATCATCAAAGTGGGTGACCTCGGAATTGCCCGAGTGCTTGAGAACCACTGTGACATGGCTAGCACCCTCATTGGCACACCATACTATATGAGCCCTGAATTGTTTTCGAACAAACCCTACAACTACAAGGTAGGATTGGGCTGTTTCTGCCAGCTCACCTTGTCTCTAGGGCAGTATTCATAATTTTAGAATCCATCAGAATATTAAGTCAGAAGAATTCTCTGAATTAATTTAAGGAAAATGTCTTTTTTTAAAAAATGAAAATGTAAATAAGGCATTCTTATATTTCACCATTTACTACTTTTTTTTTCCTAGTCTGATGTTTGGGCTCTGGGATGCTGTGTTTATGAAATGGCCACCCTGAAGCATGCTTTCAATGCAAAAGACATGAATTCTTTAGTTTATCGGATTATTGAAGGAAAGGTAAAGAATATTTTGGAACTAATTGTTTTTAATATATGGAGCAAGGTTAATTTAACCTAACTTTGAAAGTAGCTACTGGTAAAAGGTATAATTGGGTGGATAGTTAAGAATGGTGGGTCCCATGTGTGGGGAAGGTTGAACTATAGGAGAAGGAACTGATCTTTCCTTGATATTAATTTAAGGTGGCTGAGTGGCTCTGAAGAATTGGCTTCTTGAATACCACAACCTTATAGCCTTAGGATGTGCAGATGCCCTGAAGCTATTGGTAGTGTCTCCTAAGTACCTTATGGTTAACTGAACTCCATTTACAATGAATCTCCTCTGTCTGAACTTGTTGTTCCTTTGATAATCATCACAGTCACCAGCAACTAGTTTAAAAATTGGAGAAAACACTGTGTATGATAGATGCTAGAGTGACAAATTTTATATATGAATTTCATGAAACTGGTTGCTGTCTGCAGTGTCAGGCGTCCACACACCTTTAAGTTTTGAGGCTATGAATCACTTACTGATTTTAATATTACACCAAGACACATTTAATGTTTTAATTTGAAAAAAAAATCAAAAAACACATAAAAAGTAAAACTTGCTTTTTATTTCCACTACTTAACCAAAAAGGAAAGGGGTGAAATTCCTCTCTGTTGTCATCCATTTCCATTCCTTGGAGATAACCATTGATGACCATTTGTTGCATAGCCTTCCTGGCTTTCCCTGTCTTTATACAGACTTTTCTCTGAGTGTGTATGTTTAAAAAAGTAACTGAAGTGAAATCAGGCTACACACACTGTTATATGCAACCTGCTTTTCTGACTTACCATATGAGGGACATCTTTCCAGGTTGGTATCTGTAAGTCTTTTATTTTTTTAAAGGGTACCTGATATTTTATTAGGAGGGTATGGGACTTCCCAGGTGGCACTTGTGGTAAAGAATCCACCTGCCAATGCAGGAGATGCAAGAGATGCAGGTTTAATCTCTGGATCCAGAAGATTCCCTGGAGTAGGAAATGGCAACTGACTGCAATATTCTTGTCTGGGAAGTCCCATGGACAGAGGAGCCTGGTGGGCTACAGTCTGTGGGGTTGCAAAGAGTCGGACATGGCTGAGCGCACGTGCGTGCACACACACACACACCCACCCCATACTCTATTCCCCAAGTACCCTATGGATGGCCATTTATGTCACACACACACACACACACACACACACCATACTGTATTCCCCAAGTACCCTATGGATGGCCATTTACGTTATTTCCAGTCATTGACTACTACAAGAACAACACTGAAGTGGATATCCTAGCATCTAAATCTTTAGGAAATCATGCTCTTGTTTATAAAGGAGACAGTCCTCAAATGGAATTGCTGGTTTGAAAGATAAGTTTTATAATCGTTCAACTTGCTGTTATAACCAAGATGCCAGGTCAGCTTCCTGTAAACTAATATGCTGGTTATTTTCTGTTCCTTTGGATAATGATTTTAAAAAATGTACATTGGGAAATCTCTACCATCTTTTACTTTTCTTAAGGCTGTTAGTCATCCTTGTGGTTTGATTTCTGTTTGTAGCTGCCACCGATGCCAAAAGATTATAGCCCAGAGCTGGCAGAACTGATAAGAACTATGCTGAGCAAAAGACCTGAAGAAAGACCTTCTGTGAGGAGCATCTTGAGACAGCCTTACATAAAGCGCCAAATATCCTTGTTTCTGGAGGCCACGAAGGCGTAAGATATTTCCCTTGCAAATAGCTGGGGCTAAATAGATGGAATAAAAGAGGGTGGTTTTTATAATTTTCGTGTGTGAGAATTTATGGTGAGTTTTTTAAAAACATGAAGTAGAATTGCATGATTAGAATAAGTGTTGAGATTTGCTTAATTGGTAAACTCAGAAATCTGGAAAATCATTGGAGGAATCACTTTCACATTCCTCTGAGAGTTCCAAGGCATATTGAGTATGAGTCCTTTAAAAGGATGTATGTTTTACAGATCATATTCAAATGACAGATCATCTAAGAAGCCTGTTACATTATATGCTGTGTAAGATAATAGTCACATTTAAAAAATAGTACTCAAATTTCATAGGGCTTTTATAAGGTTCCTTCTTCACTGATATAGAATTCTTTGACTTGCAGGTCCTACCTTCGCTAAATAGCTGTTCCAGGATCTAAGACTTAGAGCTGGACAACACCTTCACAGTCTCTGCCTTTTGACTTGTTAATTGGGAGGCAATGTTAGAGAGGCCCCAGGAAATAAAGGAGGATCATATTTTTATTTACATTGCCTATTATTTACCACCTACAGACCTTTGGCCTTCTGTACCTTTGGTCTTCATGCTCTCCTTGAATTTTCCAAAGGTTTAGCTCCATTGTAAAACAGCTGGGGATATTATTCCTATAAACATTTATTCTGCAAGTCAAGGCTCAGTAAACCAATCATTTTTACTTTTAAACTTGGCAAAGCCGTTGTGTGTTATTACAAACGTGAAACTTGAAGATGAAAATAATCCTGGTATTTCTCATTGTGAGGCAATTTTTCATAGATGTAAAATTTTAGAACAATGTTATATTCACAGAAAAGTTGCAGAGATAAAGCAGAGAGTTTCTATATAAGCCTCACTCAGTTTCCCCATCAACATTTTATATTACCGTGGTACATTTGTCAGAACTAAGAAAACATCAGTACCTGTTGTTGACTAAACTACAGACTTTATTTGGCTTTCACCAGTTTTTCTACTAATGTCCTTTTTGCTTCAGGATCCAGTCCAACATACCATATTACTTGTTGTTTCTCTTTAGTCAGCTTGGGTCTCTGACAGTTTCTTAGTTTCTTTGTTTTTCATGACTTTCATTGTTTTTGGAGATTACTGGTCAAGTGTTTTGTTGAATGCTCCCTGTTTTTAGGAGACTCTTCTCCATAAAAGGAGCAGTTATATGGGAATTCCCTGGCAGTCCAGTGGTTAGGATTCCAGATGTCCACTGCAGGAAGCCAACGTTCTATCCCTTGTCGGGGAACTAAGATCTCGCAAGCTGTGTGGTGTGGCCAAAAAAGAAAAAAAAAAAAAGGAGAAGTTCTATAAAGGAGTTGTAACATGTATGCACATTTCCTCACATATATGGAAACCTTTAAACTTCACTGTATTAATAATAACTTTTTCTTCTTTCTTCCTCATAAAGAAAAACCTCAAAAAATAATATTAAAAATGGTGACTCTAAATCCAAGCCTGTGGCTGCAGTGGTTCCTGGAAAGGCTGAATTAAGTCATGAAGTAGTTCCCCCTCAACCACACTCTTCTGAGAGCTCCAAGACATATGTAATGGTACGTCTCTTTTTAAAGGATATGTGTTCTAGAAATTATTAAAATGATAGGTTACCTAAGCTAGTTACTCTATGTGAAATGATTAATTTTCATTAGATTTCTGTTAATTTTATAGTGTGAAGAAGGAATATTGGGGAAGTAATCAAATGCCTATTATTAATAAAATGTTTGTGAAGTCAGTGCTGTAATAACTTTAAGAAGGTTTTTTTAACTGAGGTGAAATTTATATAAAATAAAAGTTAACCATTTTACAGTGAACAGTTAATTGCATTCATTGTATTCACAGTACTGTGTAGCCATCACCTCTATCTCGTTCCAAAACTGTTTTGGCACCCCAGAAGGAAATCCCATACCCATTAAGTTGTCACTGCTCCTTCCCTCCTCTGTCCAGTCCCTGTAAAACACCAGTGTGTTTTCTGTTTGTATGGGTTTGCCTGTTCTGAATATTTCATATAAATGGAATCATACAATATGTAAACTTTTGTGTCTGACTTCATTCACTTAGCATGTTTTTGAGGTTCATCCAGGTAGCATCTATCAATACTTCATTTATTTTTATGTCTGAGTAATACTCCATTGTATTTGTATACCACAATTTGTTTATCCTTTCATTCATTGGTAGATATTGGGTTGTTTTCATCTTTTGGCTATTGCTGTGAACACTTGTGTACAATATTTGTTTGAGTATCTATTTTTCATTCTTTTGGGTATAATATCTAGGAAAGGAATTGCTGGGTCATATGGTAATCCGATGTTTAACTTTTTGAGGAATGACCATACTGTTTTTCCTTAGTGTTACATTTCACATTTTTATCAGCAATTCCTGAGAAATCCAATTTCTCTTCAACTTCACAAAGTCTTGTTATTTTCTGTTTTTCCAATTCTAGCCATCCTAGTGGATGTGAAGTCATATGTTATTGTAATTTTGATTTGCCCTTGACTAATGATATAGAACTTTTTGGCTATTTGAAAGCCTTCTTTGGAGAAATATCTATTAAGTCCTTTGCCCATTTTTTAATTGGATTTTTTTTTTTTATGGTTGAGTCCTATGAGTTCTTTCTATAGTATGGATACTAGACCCTCATCAGATATATGATTTAGAAATATTTCCTTCTATTCTGTAGGTTGTCCTTTCACTATCTTGATAATATCCTCTTATGCACAAATGTTTTCAATTTTGATGAAGTCTAACATATTTGTTTTTTTCTTTTGTTGCCCATACTCATATCTAAGAATCCCTTGCCAAATCCAAGGTCATGAAGATATATGCCTGTTTTTTCTTATATGATTTTTATAGTTTTAGCTCTTATATATTTACATATTGATTCACTCACAATTTTGTATTATTGTAAAATATTTGTTGTTTAGTTGCTAAGTTGTGTCCAACTATTTGTGACCCCATGGATTGTAGCCCACCAGGCTCCTCTGTCCATGGGATTTCCCAGGCAAGAATACTCAAGTGAATTGCTATTTCCTTCTCCAGGGGACTTTCCCAACCCAGGGATCGAACCCGTGCTTCCTGCATATGTAATGTAAAATTTGCCATTTATACCATTTTTAACCAATTAATTTCATTTTGTATCATTTTAAAGCATACAATTCAGTAGTCTTAATTGCATTCACAATGTTGTGCTGCCATTCACCATATCTTCCAAAACCTTTCATCATTCCAAACAGAAACTCTGTACCCATTAAGGTGTAATGTATTGCTCCCTGTTGCTCCTACTCCCAAACTCTGGTAACCTGGCAGACAGAAACCTACTTTCTGTCTCTGAATTTGCTTATTTATATAGGTGCCTCCTATAAATGGGAATCATACACATTTTTTCCTCTGTGTCTAGCTCCTAGTTTATTCCACTTAGCAAGTTTTCAAAGATTATTCATATTGTAGCATGTTATCAGAACTTCATTCCTTTCTATGACTTTATAATATTCCATTATATATATACACCATATTTATTGAATCATTCACCTGCTAATGGCCATTTGAATTGTTTCATTTTTTTGCCATTGTGAATACTGCTGCTATAAACATTGGTGTAGAGATACCTGTTTGAGTCCATACTTTTAGTTCTCGGGGCGTATACCTTGGAGTGGGATTGTTGGGCCTTATGATTATTCCATGTTTAACTTCTGAGGAACTTGCAGCACCATTTTGAGTTAAATTTTTTATATGGTGTATATAATAACTTGGAAGCATGTTTTCACTCAGGGTGAAGACAAATGTTTGTTCCAGGAGAAACCTGTAGTCATTGGCCCCTTGAAGATACCCACAAGTCTGAAAGACCACACCTACAAACCAGACATAAGCAATACTGCAGACTCACTAGCCACAATCAGTAGGGTGAATATTGACATCTTACCTACAGAGAGGAGGAACTCAGTGAATGACGGCTTAGTTCAAGAGAATCCACCACGACACCTAGATGCCTCTAATGAACTGGAAGGTAAATGTAATATTTCTCAAGTGAAGGAGATGTTGCAGGAGAACAGTAAATCCAGTGCTTTACCTGGAGACCGAATTCCCACATCGTCCTCTCACCATGTTACTGGAGAAAGGAATGACCCAATGAAGCCTCTGCAGCCCCTCAACAAAGACCAAAATTCACCAAAAGACCAGGTGAGTGACATGCACAAGGTGTTGGTTTCAGAGAGAGGATTGAACAGTGCAGTTACAAAGATATGGGTTGTGTTCTTGTGCTTTTAGGAAAATCTGTTATTTCCATGTAAGAGTTTAAATGTAACAGAACCAAAGGATAGGACCTGAGGAATTCTTAGATCCCCTCTTTGCCCGGGTATAGGGTACTTGCAATTCTCCATTAGTGTGTTTTTTTCCTATTTCTGCATCATTTGTCTTTAGTCTTCCAAGTGAATGGGTAACTCTGGGTAGAAAGAAAGCCAGAATGTGGGATCTTAGTTCCCTGATTAGCGATTGAACCCTGAACTGCAAGGCAGACTTTGAACCATTGGGTCACCAGGAAAGTCCCAGTCCTTGTACTTTTTTTGTTAAATTCTGATTCTATTGTAAATGGAGTGATTTTCTTTTTTTTTTTTAATTTTCATAATTTCATTTTCATAGTGTACATTGCTTGGTACAGAAATATTATTAATTTTTATATATTACATTTTCATTCTATAGCCTTGCTTAACTCATTTATTGGTTTAATAACCTTTTAATAATGTATTTCTTAGAATTTTCTGAATATAATATCACATCATCTACAAATTGAGATCCTTTTTCCTTTTTCCTTTTTAATCTGTATTTCTTAACTTCCTTTTTTCTTATCTAATTGCCCTGGCTAGAACCTCTAGTACATTGTTGAATAGAAGTGATAAGAATTGATATCCTTGTTTTGTTCCTGATAAATGTGTTTCTTACATCAGGGTTTAGAGGGCAGGGTTTTTTTGTTTTGTTTGATAGAATTTCATGTCTGGCATTTCTTTTTTGTTGTTCTTATTATTGTATTGCTGTTGATAACAGTGGAAGACTTTTTTTCAAGACCAATTGGATTTCATGGAAAAACTCCTTAATTGGTTTGAAGTTATTCTTGTATGTGTAAGCTTTAAATATTCTATACTTAATACTAGCAGAGAAACATTTATTTCACTTTTAATAATTAAATTACTTGTTTTTTATTATCTGGGCCCTGTTGGCTCAGATGGTAAAGAATCTGCCTGCAATGCAGGAGACTGTGGTTTGATCCCTAGGTTGGGAAGATCACCTGGAGAAGTGAATGATTACCCACTCCAGTATTCTTGCCCAGAGAATTCCATGGACAGAGGAGCCTGGTGGTCTACAGTCCATAGGGTCACTCAGAGTCAGACCCAACTGAGCAACTAACACATATTTAGCTAGCATATCACATTGTTCCTTTTTCTTTCTAAAATTTACCACAGAGTGGGCTTTTTGATTAAAATGTGTTGATTAAATGACATTTGAGTACCAGTGTCTATCTTCTTGAAAACTTAGATATTCTGATAGTTAAAAATTAATGTTAAGAAGTTATTTTATTTTAATGTTTGGTTTCTCAAACCAGCTATCCAAATAAAATACCAAGTCCTTGGTGATCTTTATAATTTAAAAGTTAATTTATCTTTACTACTGCTAGAAATTGCTCCTGATTTCTGAGCATCTAATATGTGCTAGATACGGTCTTAAGTACTATAGTGCCCAGTCTTCTATAATCCTCCAATATTCACATGATCGGTGTGAAGCAATGTACCCATTTGTAGATGAGGAAACAAAGGTTCAGGGAGACGTCGTGACTCCATCTAAATCCAAACTCATGGTGTTTTCATGGTGTTTACAGAGGACATCCACATAACTAATGTTTACTTGGGAAGTATGTGTATATTAAAAACATTTGTTAGCTTCCTGAATAGAAAACCTATTAAAAGTTATAAAAAGATTTTTTAAAAATTAAATTGAACATCAGAAGTTTCAGGTTATAACAATCTGAGTAATTTAACTGAAAAAATTATTTTTATTTGGGAAAAGAGAAGAAAACCCAGAATACATAGATAGCTGATGCCAGCGTTTTGTCTTTGCCTATCAACACTGAAAATAAGCATTCATTTTGAGAAAGACAGTTCCTGCTTTCATTTTTAATTTTAAAAATAGATATGGGGGGTTTGGCCATTTAGGAGTTCAAAAGACTGTTTCACTATTCTACTTTGGTTTTTTGTTTGTTTGTTTATTTCATTTTCCTATTTTTAAGGATCAAGTTGCTGGTGAATGTGTTACAGGAAAACAGGGTAGAATCCACCCAGCTTTGCAGCCACACAGCTCTGGGTCTGAACCTTCCCAGTCTCGACAGCAGCGGCAGAAGAAAAGAGAACCCACTGAGCACAGTGGGGAAAAGGGACAGGTCAGCAGAGATCTCTTTGGAATGAGTCACTGTGCTGCTGCCTGTGAAACAGATTTTAGGAGGCTCCATTTCTATTTAGAATGATGTGCCAAAAAGGTACATACAGAATCTGAGGAACATACGGAGAAAGGTAGAAATGCCAAGTATTAATTATTAAATGTCAGTGAGTTGGAAGCAAAGTAAGAATTTTACCTTCTCCAGCAAGGGTGGACAGTTCATTTTGAGAGTTAAAGAAACAGGCCAACAAAGATAAGTCTCTGATTCCTCTTATGTCATGTTAATGAATAGTTTCTCCCTCAACTTCTGTATAAGATCATGTCACCCTCTCATTTCTGGAAGTAACTTTCACAGGCACCCTCTCTATATAGTTTCTTAAGTGGTCATTCACTTTTGGCTGAGTTTCTTTCCCCCCAAAATTCAATGTTTTAAGTTCTGAGAGGGAATCACTGACAAATACATAAATATACCCATGGGGGACCTTTGCAGGTGGATAATATATGAAATTTATAATCTCTCCCTCTTTGTTAATTATTTAAGTTCATAGAGACTCCGCCTTGCCTTTTGCCTTCTCTTTCCACTGTTGGAAAAGTGGAATGCACATCAACACAAAAACATGCTGAAAACCAAAGTAGAGTGGTCACTGGATCTGTGAACAGTTCGAGGGGCAGTGAAATAACATCATCAAAGGTTTGTGAGAGTATATGTTGGATTTAAAAAAAAAACCTTATTATAAAGCTTTTTAGTTGTAAAAACCCTGCTTATATTGTGGGGTTTTATATTAAAACATCTTAGGTCTGCTTTTTGCCACACACTGAAAAGTGCAAATTGGTGATTCTCAACAGAAGCTTTGATTGAACTGGACAGATTCTATCATTCCAGAGCTGGTCATTTCTAGTTAATTAAGGAGACCAAGTGGATTCTGAGTATAGGAAAGCAGAATTCTCATTTCCCCTTAGACAAATGAGTTCTTCCTAGAAATGAGGGCTCTGATCATCCTAGCAAGTAGTTGTAACCCTGATGTGAACTAGTTTCAAATGGACACTCCAGACTTCCCTTCATGGAAGTAGTTCAGTGGTTAAGAATCAGCCTGCCAATGTGGGGGACATGGATTCGATCCCTGGTCCGGGAAGTTTCCACATGCCATGGGGCAGCTAAGCCTGTGTGCCACAACTACTGAAGCCCGTGCGCCTCTGTGCCACAACAGTCGAAGCCTGTGGGCCGCGTAACACACTAGAGAGTAGCCCCGCTCACTGCAGCTAGAGAAAAGCCCGCACAGCAACGGAGGCCATCACAGCCAAAGATAGGCACCTCTGTGAATTAAGTTTTAAAGATGGAAAAAAGGGACGCTCCTTAAAGGTTGTGCTGTGCCTTTTCCTGTAGTGCGGGGTGATGTGTCATGTACTGTAGGAATTATAAGAAGAGTGAGTAGGGAGAACTCCCCTGGTGGTTCAGTGGTTAAGACTCCATGTGTCCAGTGCAGGGCGTGCGGGTTTGATTTCTGTTCAGGGAGACTTAGATCCTGCGTGCTGTAGGGCAAGGCCCAAAACAAGGAAAAAGAATAGTGAGTAGGGATGGAAGTGACTCTTAACTTTCTTTAAAAGGACCGACCATTATCAGCAAGAGAGAGGAGGCGACTGAAGCAGTCACAGGAAGAGACCTTCCCCTCAGGTAAAGTTATTCTGTTTCCTTCATCTGTTGGAGGCTATTGGTGTGGCTCACAGACATAGCACTGGACTGATTGTGAGGTGTTAGGAATTTCCAGTATTAGTAATCCATTTGGGAAACCAATTCAGAAGAATTTTTGAAATTTCCTAGTCAAGCCTTTTAAAAAATGAGCATAGTATTGGATCTGGAACTTGTGTTATTAAAAGGAAGAAGGATTCTAAAAAGAGAGCAAGAGGGCTTTGAATGGCAGTAATGCCTGGGAAATTTCAGACAGGAAAGCAATCAAGCGAGAGTTTAATTTGTTTTCATGTTTAGAGCCTGTTGGTCAAAGAAGTGCTCTCTTCTCAGGAACAGAGATAGGAAGCCAGGAGAATGGTGCTGCCTTGGGCTGAGGGCTGCGATCATTCCTATTACTGTTAGCTAAAGACAACATATTTTAGCAGGTTCCATTTATTGAATGCTGAGAGTGTCTCAAGCATTATGGTAGATTTTGAGGGCATTATCTCATTTCATATTTTTCAGCTGAGGAGACTGAGGGTCAGAGGGGTTAAGTAACTTGTTCAAGGTCACGGCATTCGTAGACCTGGAGCTGAGATTTGAGCTAAGGTGTCCCCAGCACCAGAGTGATGATGAATATGCTGTCTGAGTTCCTTTAGGCTGGCCCTTGCTGGGGTGTCTTCCATACCCCAGTACAAAGCGCTCTTTTGTTGAGGCCAGTCCACCACAAAGAACTGCTGGGGGTGGTCACTTTTTCAGGCCCTACAGTGAGGAGAGCTGCTCTGGGTCCAGTGGGACCAGCGAAACCACAGGAAGGCCACCACAGCCCTGCTCGAAGGTCGTCTTCCGACTGCAGTGTTGCTCAGGTACATTACATAGGCCCAAGGGAAAAGGTGGACATGTCTACATCTGGCAAGCCTAATATGGTAAACCTCATATGTGCCAGCTCTATTTCTGGAACAGTGCTACTTAAGTTACATCTTTCACACTTCCTCTAATAAGGAAAAGAACTGATCAATAGTAATTAAAATAATTTATTTTGCTTCATTAAGGGTTTGAATTTTTCAGGCACTCGTGTAAACACCTGGCAGCCTAGTTAATATCTTTCTTAGGTAGTCTTTTATTTTTTTATTTTTTTTCTTAGGTAGTCTTTTAAATAATACTTCCAAATGGCTTCTACTTGGCAACACTTTGCCTGTACTGCTGTGTTAATATACCAAACGACCTGGCCAGATTTTAGTCTCCCTAGCTGATTCTTCCTTTGTTTCCCGTTTGTGTTGAAATACCTTAGTTTTTGGCCCAGGGATGATATAAGAGCACCATCTGGTGGCAGAATGTGTAATTGCAAGGTGTTCAACCCACATTCACTTTTCTGTGTCTTAGTTCATACCCTGAGAATAATTATTCAATATTCTGTATTCCAGTTTTTGACATTATTTCTAGGAGCATATAATTTTTTTAAAAAAAGGAAACTTCCTGTCCTTTAATGATTTTTTTTCCTTTAACAATAGTCTATGATTTAGTTGTTTCATTAATTAAGATAGTTCTATTTTCCAAAGTTGTAACATTTGTGTATAATTATATCTGGTAATCCTTTGAAGCATTTAACAAAGAGTCTCATATGTGAGCAAACTGAGGTTACTTTTAATTTAAGTGGCATTCTGTCTTGTTTAAAGTACTAACATTCCTTATGGTACCAGCCCTCTGCTTAGAAGTTGAAACACCAGAATTGTTTGTCTCCTCTCCTCTGAAAAGGAAGTTTTTTCATAGCTGAGATTTTTCAGGAACTTATAAAACTTCACCTTGATGCTCTTTAGGGTTCGCTTATGAACTTCATGGGTGAACTAGGACATGATTTGGTAAAGTAACTTCAATTTTTATGTCCAGTAGTCTACTGTTATTGAACCTAGGTGCATATTGTGTCTAGACATTGCATCTAAGACTATTTCATGTATTACATTCTGGTTGTGTTGTTATGTGAAATTTTGTTTTTTCCAAACATTAATAGGAAAGGAAACTCACCCATTGTCTCTCAGAGGATGAGTTAAGTTCTTCTACAAGTTCAACTGATAAATCAGATGGGGATTCCAGGGAAGGGTAAGTTCTTATCTTTTTATCTCCCTTCATAAATTGGTTCTATTTGAATTCATTTTATTTTTAACTAAAACATTTTTTATTGATACATAGTTAATTTACAATATTCTGTTAATTTCTGATGTACAGCAAAGTCACTCAGTTATACATATGTATATTCTTTTTCATATTCTTTCCCACTATGGTTTACCAGAGGAATAGACTATAGTTTCCTATGCTAGACAGTAGTAATCCATCCTAAATATCCATCCTCTATGTAATAGTTTACATCTGCTATTCTCAAATCCCTAGTCCTTCCCTCCCACACCTCCTGCCCCTGTGGCAACCACAAGTCTGTTCTCTCTGTCTTTGAGTCTGTTTCTCTTTCATAGGTATGGTCATTTGTGTCATAGTTTAGGTTTCACAAGTAAGTGATGTCATATGTATTTGTCTTTCTGTTTTGACTTACTTCACTTAGTATGATAAGCCATTTATATTGCTTCAGATGGCATTATTTCATTCTTTTTAATGGCTCAGTAACTATCTCACATCTTCTTTTTCTGTTCATCTCTCAGTGGACATCAAGATTGTTTCCGTGCCTTGGCTATTGTAAACAGTGATGCTCTGAACAGAAGGGTACATGTATCTTTTTGAAATACAGTTTTGTCTAGGTATATGCCTAGGAGTGGGATTGTTGGATCATATGGCAACTCTATTTTTAGTTTGTTGAGGAACCTCCATACCATTTTCTACAGTGCCTGTCCCAGTTTACGTTCCTACCAATGGTGTAAGAGTTCCCTTTTCTCTACACTCTTTCCAACGTTTACTGTATGTAGACTTTTTAATGATGGCCATTCTGACTGGTGTTAAGTGGTATCACAGTTTTGATTTGCGTTTTGGTAGTAATTAGCAATGATGAACATCTCTTCATATGCCTGTTGACCATCTGTATCCCTTCTTTAAAGAAATGTCTATTTCGGTCTTCTACCCATTTTTCTATTGGGTTTTGTTGTTGTTGTTGTTATTGAATTGTATGAGCTCTTTATATATTTTGGAAATTAATCCCTTGTTGGTCACATTGTTTGCAAATATTTCCCCCCAATCTGTAGGTTATCTTTTCCTCCTTTTTTATGGTTTCCTTTGCTGTGCAAAAGCTTTTAAGTTTGCTTAAGTCCCATTTGTTTGTGAATTCATTTTAAATGTACATTTATAACACCATTCAGACCTGTAGTACTGTCGTTAATAATGTTGTAAATGGTTTTTGGTATATGCTAGGACTAAAGTTCTCTTTCAGTGAACACATCTGATTTTCATTCAGAGTTCTTATAAAATGTCTTTTTAGATCTGTGGGTTTAGTTTTTATCAATTTGGCCATTATTTTCATCGGTTTGGCCATTATTTCTTCAAATAGTTTTTTGGACCCCCTCCTGAGGATCCTACATGTACACTAGAGTTGGTGATGGACAGGGAGGCCTGGCATGCTGCAGTCCATGGGGTCACAAAGAGGCAGACACGACTGAGCGACTGAACTGAGCAGAACTGAAAGTTATCCCACAGCTCACTGATGATGTTCATTTTTTTTTTTAGCCTTTTTTTCTCTGTCCCCCGCACCCCCCCCCTTTTTTTTTTTGGTCATGCTGCTTGGCTTGTGGGATCTAAGTTCCCTGGCCAGGGATTGAACCTGCACCCTTGGCAGTGAAAGCAGTGTCCTAACCACTGGACTGCCAGGAATTCCCATCTGTTCCATTTTTTATAGATTCTATTGCTTTCTCTTTAAGTTTACTAATCTTTTCTTCTGCAGTGTCTTAATTTGTTAATCCCATCCGATGTATTCAACACATTGTACTTATCATTTGTAGTTCAGTTTGGGTCTTATTTATATCTTCATTGCCTTTCCTTAACATGCTAATGCTTCCTCTATGTTGGTCATATGGAATATGTTTTTAATAACCTCTTTAATGTCCTTTGTTTACTAATTGTCACTTGTGTCACTTTTGGATCTGTTGCTTTTAACTGATTTTTTTTCTTCACAATTGTGTGCTGTTTTCCTGCTTTGCATATCTGGTATTCTTGACTTGATTCCAGACATTGTTAATTTTATCCCATTAGGTGCTGATACTTTTATATTTGTTTAAATATTCTTGAGCTTTGTGCTTGTATATAGTTAAAGTACTTAGAAATAGTTGGGCAGAATTTATACACAGAAACTGGGGCCTTCTCTTTCTGGCTCTGTCCTTTCCAAGACTCCTTACTCACTTTCTAGTGGCCGTGGTGTCTTGAACTCTGGTATTTAGCTCTGCAGGTAAGAAAGACTGTGGGTTTTCTTTTGTACTTTAGCTCCCTATGGCCTGTCCTTAGGCTAAAAGTATTAACTCCCCTCCAGAATCTTGTTTGTAAATTTTATACATTCTCCATTTCCCTCATAGTTAATCTTTGTATTTTGTCCAGAGTTTATACTTATTTGTGAAGGGGTCTGTCTGTAAGAACTTACTTGTTCATTGGGAAGCCGAACTTCTTAATTTTCGGTGAAAAATTATCATGAAGCAGTTTTTTTAAATTTTCTTCCCAGTAAAGGTCATACGAATGAAATGACTGACTTGGTACAATTGATGACTCAGACTCTGAAGCTGGACTCTAAAGAGAGCTATGAAGATCTCCCAGTACCAGACCCAGTGTCAGAATTTAAACTCCATCGGGAGTATCGGGACACGCTGATACTTCATGGGAAAGTTGCAGAAGAGGCAGAGGAGCTCCATTTTAAAGAGCTGCCTTCAGGTGGTCAGTTTATTGTTTCACACCAAACTGGAGAGCATCTGTTTACTGGAGAAATGTATCAAACTAAGGGCCTAATGTTTGCAAATTTTTAAAAAAATTATTTCCATTGGATATGTCCATAAAAATATATCTTATTTTATGTAATAGTTGCATTCCTGAAAAGTTGCATGAAATTTTATTTTTAACAATAAATGTAAATAAGTACATGTTTCGAATTTTTCATATGGATTTTCTTCAAATTAGACAATTGCAGTTTTTAGTTTTAGGAGATGGTAATAAGATATGAAGCATAAGTTCAGTTAAGAAAAATACATGAAGTCATTAAACCAAACTCTTGTCAAAGTGAAAAGAATCTTAACATGACAAGATTTAAAAAAAAAAAATCATTGTGTTCTTGTTGAAGTGGTGAAAGTTTATTTTTCCCTTTTGTTGTTGCTTTTTAGCTGTCATGCCAGGTTCTGAAAAAATCAGAAGAATAGTTGAAGTCTTAAGAGCTGATGTAATTCGGGGCCTGGGGATTCAGCTTTTAGAGCAGGTGTATGATATTTTGGAAGAGGAGGATGAATTGGAAAGAGAGGTGAGTGTCCAAACTTTAGCTGTGTCAGCTGCTTATGTTATGGAATTTTTTTGCTGGCCTTTTGGATTATAATTAACATACCATGCATTTTACCCATTTACCACCACAATCAATGTGAGAACATTTAATTACTCCCAGAAGAGACCCTGTACCCACTGATAGTCATTCCCTATTGTCTTCTAGGCCCTTCACCTCTAAACAACCACTAATCTTTCTCTCTCTCTCGATTTGCCTATTCTGGACACTTCATTTAAGTAGAATTGTAAAAAGCTATGTGGTCTTTTGTGATTGATTTCTTTCATTAAGCATATGTTTTCAAGATTCATCCATGTTGTAGCACATGGAAAACTCATTCTTTTATATGGCTGAACATGGCTGTGCCACATTTGTTTATCTGTTCACCTGTGATGGACAGTTAGATTGTTTCCACTTATTGGCTATTATGAATAATGTTACGAACATCTGTGTACAAGTTTTTGTGTGGATGTATGTTTTCATTTTTCTTGGATATCTTCCTTGGGATGGAAATTGCTGAATCATATTGCCCTGGCTAGAACCTCCAGTACAATGTTGAATAGAAGTGGTGAGAGTAAACATCCTTATCTTGTTTCTGATCTTAGATGCAGCAGTCATTATTAATTATGATGTTCACTATCAGTTTTTAGGTATTCTTTTTCAGGTTGAAGAAGGTCCCCCCTTTTTTTTAAGGATTTTATTTTAATTTAATTTTGTTTTATTCTCTATGTTATTTTATTTATTTTATATTTTTGGGGTGAAGATCCCTTCTATTTCTGGTTTGCTGAGTGTTTTTATCCTGAAAAGGTGATAGGTTTGTCAAATGCTTTCTATTTAGGTGATCGTGTTTGTGGTTTTTGGTTTTTTTTTTTAATGTGGTGTGTTACATTAATTTGTTTTTGGATGTTAAACCATCCTTATATTCCTGAGATAAATCCCACTTGGTCATGGTCTATACTGCTTCTTAGATGTTGCTAGAGTCATGTTTCTAGTATTTTGTTGAGCGTTTTTGTGTTGGTGTTCACATGATACTGATCTTGGTCTTCAGTTTTCTTTCCTTGTGATATTTTTTATTGGTTTTGTTATCAGGGCAACACTCGCCTCAGAATGAGTTGGAGAGTGTTCTCTCATCTTTTGGGGGAAGAATTAGTGAAGAACTGGTGTTAATTCTTTTTGAAATGTTTGCGATAGAATTCACCAATGAAAGTGTCTGGGATCTGGGCCTGGGCTTTTCTTATATATATGAATATATATATGGGCTTCCTTGGTGGCTCAGATGGTAAAGAATCTGCCTGCAATGCGGGAAACCTGGGTTTGATCCCTGGGTTGGGAAGATCCCCTAGAGGAGGGCATGGCAACCCACCCAGTATTCTCGCCTGGAGAATTTCCATGGAGGAGAATTCCAAGAGGAGCCTGGTGGGCTACAGTCTATGGGGTCGCAAAGAGTCTGACACGACTGAGTGACTAAACACATATGTGTTTAGTGTTTAGTCACGTGTGTGTGTGTGTGTGTGTGTGTGTGTATAAATCTTTTGGCCATCTTGCATGGCATGTGGGATCTTAGTTCCCCAACCAGGGATCGAAGCCTCACACCCTGCATTGGCATTGTGGATGGAGTCTTAACTACTGGACCACCAGGGAAGTCCTTGGGCTTTTCTTTGTGAGTAGTTTTTTGTTAGTGAATTCAATGCCTTACTATATTCAGATTGTTCTTCTGTTTCTAAAATTTGTGTCTTTCTAGGAATTTGTCCATTGCAACTAAATTATCCATAATTGGCAATTATTAATAGAAATCCTTTTAAATCTTTTTTATTTCTATAAAGTTGGTTGTTTAGGAATCTGTTGTTTAATTTCCACAAATATGTTACATTTCTCTATTTTATAGGTTCAACAGTGTATTATACACATGCTGGCTTTTTAATTATAGTAAAATACACGTAACTTAAATTTTAGCATTTTAACCATTTTTAAGTATTTGGTTTAGTGCTGCAGTCCATGGGGTGGCAAAGAGTCAGACATGACTGAGGGACTGAACTGAACTCAATGGCCTTAAGTATGTTTTACATAATTGTGCAAACATTACCCATCCATTTCTAGAACTTCTTTCATTTTGCAAAACTGAAACTCTGTACCAATTAAGCAGAAACTCCCCATTTTCCCTTCCTGCCAGCTCCTGGGATCCACCTTTTTTTTTTTTTTTTTAAGGGCTCCACCTTTTTAACATCTGTGTCTATGAATTTAACTAAGCCTTGATACAAAGCCTAAACGTAGCATCTAGAAACAGTAAAACTCATCTGTAAAGAAAACTTCAGGCCCAGATGGCTTTGCTGGTGAATTCTTCCAATCATCTAAGGAAGAAATAACACAAGTCTTACACAAATTCTTTAGAAAACAGAAAAAGAAGGGACATTTTCCAGTTCTCCAGAAAACCAAAACTGTGATGTCAAAACCCAGCAAGGACACTTACATGAAAAGAAACATAAAACCAGTGTCTCTCATGAACATCTTAATCATCTAGTATTTTGTTGAAGATTTTTGCATCAATGGTCATAAGGGATATACGTTTATATTTTTCTTTTCCTATAGTCTCCCTGTCTGGCCCTAGCACCAGGGCAGTGCTGGCCTCATGAATGAGCCAGAAAGTGTTCCCTCCTCCTTAACTCTCAAAAGAATTGGAGGACTGAAAACAGTTCCTGTCCACATGTTTGGCAGAATTCAGCAGCAAAGTTCCAGCGCCTTTCCTTGTTAGCAGGTTTAGATTACTGGTTCAGTTTCCTTGCTAGTTACGGTATATTCATATTTTCTATTTCTTCCTGATTCAGTTTTGATAGGTTTTATGTTTCTTGGAATTTGTCCATTTTGTCTAGATTATGCAACTTGTTGGTGTACAATTGTTCATAGTATTCCCTTAGAATCCTTTTCATTTCTTTTCATTAGAGTGGTGGTAATATCCCAAATCCATTTCAGATTTTAATAATTTGAGTCTTGTTTTTTTTCCCTTAGTATAGTTAAAGGTTTGTCAATTTTGTTCATCTTCTGAGAACCAACTTTTTGTTTTATTGATTTTTCTCTAATTTTCTGTTCTCTGTTATATCCTTCTCAGCTCTAAGCTTTATTATTTCCTTCCTTTGGCTAGTTTTAGGTTTAATTTGTTCTTTTTCTACTACTTTAGGTTATAAAGTTAGGTCATTGACTTGAAATCTTTTTTCTTTTTTAACATAAGCATTTATAGCTATAAATTACTTCCTTAGCACTGCTTTTGGTGCATCTCATAAGTTTTGGTATATTCTCATTTTCATTTGTCTCTAAACATCTTAAGTTTCCTTTGTGATTTTTTTTTCTTTTGGTGCACTGGAGTATGTTGTTTAATTTCCATAAATGAGTGAGTTTTCTAGTTTCCTTCTGTTATGGGTTTCTAACTTCATCCTGTTTTGGTCAGAGAAGGTACTTTGTATGTATACCTGTCTTTTTAATCTATTGAGACATAATTTGTGGCCTACTATATATGTCTCTACTGGAAAATGTTTCTTGTGCACTTGAGAAGAACTTGTATCCTATTATTCTTGGGTAGAATGTTTCTTATATGTCTGTTACATCTAGTTCGTTTTTTCATTTTTCAAGTCTTCTGTTTTCTTATCTTCTGTCTGGTTGTTCTGTCCATTACTGAGAGTGTGTATTGAAGTTTCCAACTATTATTTGTAGAACTACTTTTTCCTTTAATTCTGTGAAGTTTGGCATCATATATTTTGATCATCTGTTATTAGGTACATAATTGCTTATAATTATTATATCTTCCTGCTGTATTGATCCTTTTGTTAATGTATAACGTCCTTGTATCTTGTATTTCTTATGACTTTATTTTTTGATATCTTGATGTTTTACATTTTTATGTAAACATAACTATAGCTATGTATTCTCTCATAAGGTTTCCACCTTGGTATTGTGCTTAGAATACCCCTTTTAAGACTATAGAAATATTTTTTCTACTGTATACTGATTTTTTTTTTTTTATGTTTCCCAAATAGGTACATTTGCAGGAGCACATGGGTGAAAAGTATGTGACTTACAGTGTGAAGGCTCGCCAGTTAAAATTTTTTGAAGAAAATGTGAACTTTTGAGAATTTATCTAATATGCTGCCAGAATAAAACTATTTTCAAAGGTTTTTGGTTTAAACAAATACAAACAAATCTATAACAATGATTGGAGGCCATTCACCATCCTTTTATCTTGTTGGCTTGTTATCTAGAAAAAATTGGACAAAATAGTAATATTGAAGCAAGCTTACAAAAGAAAAAACAAACCTTGGCTATCTTATTCTCTTTATGAGGAAAAAAATCTATTTAAAGACATTTGTTTGATTACTGTTTACTGAGCCTTAAACCAACTTGATACTTAGAACTGTTTTTTTAAGGTACTTATGAGCTTGAATACTGAGACAAAACATACTGGATTGGAAGTTCCACATTATACTATAGTGATAAAAGCAGTAGGGGAAAAAATGATACATTCAGTGATATTACTTTTTACTATTAATAACTTTAAGTAGCAGCTGATAAATTATTTTTTTATAATTCTGGGAGTAGATTTAAAGATATGAAGTTATATATAGTACCTGAGCAATTGAATTCCTTTTTGCGTATTAATGTAATTTAACATTTTATTTCCATTTAATATGGACCATTGTATATAAGAATTGAAAGTAGGAGATATTTTGGCCTTGTGAATCAATATGTTTTTGAAGACTGGGTTTTTTTTTTTAAGATTTATTTTTTCATCAGCGGAAACATCTGTTAAACACTAATACCTTTTCTAATTCAGCAATTTTTAAGTAATAACGTCCAGATCCTTTCAGTTATGTTGGACAGATTTTTCTCCTGAAATTTGTCTTCTTATACATCAAGATATCGATTGTCTTCCCTTATTTTAAATGTATAATTGCATATCACATATTTTATTTGTTGTTTAATAAGGTATAATGCCCAACTAGCAAGTAGCTTTTATAAAAGTTTTGATTAGTATATGTGGGACTCATAGTTTTTTGAAAACTACACACATACATAAAATAATAAAATGTTCCCTTTCTAGTCCCCTGCTGCTGCTGCTGCTAAGTCACTTCCTTCATGTCCGACTCCATGTGATCCCATAGACGGCAGCCCACCAGGCTCCCCCATTCCTGGGATTCTCCAGGCAAGAACACTGGAGTGGGTTGCCATTTCCTTCTCCAATGTATGAAAGTGAAAAGTGAAAGTGAAGTTGCTCAGTCGTGTCCGACTCTTAGCGACCCCATGGACCAGTCTACCAGGCTCCTTCATCCATGGGATTTTCCAGGTGACAGTACTGGAGTGGGGTGCCATTGTCTTCTCCATTCTAGTCCCCTAAAAGACTTTTATTTAGTTTTTTATTTAGTTTTTATTATGTGCCAGGTACTAGGCCAGTGTTCATGGCCTAATTTCTAAAGCTTCTTAATTTTATTTTAAGGGTTTGTTACAACGCAACTCTAAAACCATCTGATCCCAGTGCCCAGCTGGGGACAAATTTTTGGCAAAATGTTGGTCTTTCTGAGCTATTTACCATTTCTTTCATGTTTTAGAGATTCGTAATCTTTCTTGGGAAGTCAACTTTAGCTTTACTGACGTTTTCTAACTTATTTCTGTGAAGTTATATATATTATTTTCTTAAAGTAAAAAAAAATTCCCATACATTTTTAGTCCCATTCTATATATTTTTAAGTCAGTTTTTATGCTTCTATTGTTTGTTTTGTGGTTTTTTTCTTGAGTGCCTAATCATTTTTCAGCTTTATTTAATTTTAAAACACATTTTTAAGACTAAATTTCCCTTTCAGCATGTCTTTGGCCACATTTGAAAGACTTTTGATGTTTTATTTGACATTAGTTTGTAAATAGTAATTCTTGTTTTGATTTTTGCTTTTAAAAGTATTTTTTAATTTCCATGTATTTCCAAAGCCAAGAAATTTCTCCTTGCTCCAGCTACATTGCAGTGTTACTAAATATAACCTGCACAACCTCTATTTCTTGGAATTGTTTTTTCCTGTAGCTCAGTACATGATCCATTATTGGAATGGCCCTATGTGCCTTCAGTAAAGGTGAATTCTCTTATGCATAGGCAGAATCACTTCTCCACTAAATACTGGAAATGTTCCACATCTGCACTAATATGGTAGCCCACTAGTCATATATAAAACCTGTTGAGTCTTTGCCATGTGGCTGGTTGAGAAGCTCAATTTAAAAAAAATTGTTTTTGGATGTGCCATGCTGCATATGGGATCTTAATTCTCGAACTAGGGATCAAACCCACACCCCCTGCATTGGAAACAGGGTCGTAAACACTAGATGGCCAGGGAAGCCCTGAGGAACCCAATTTTTAATTAAACACACATGACTAGAAGCACCATATTGGACAGCACAGCTCTGTATTTATTTAGTAAGTATGATGGAGTGCCTATGTGTCATATGTACTCTTGTACTAAGCCAACAGCAGTGAGCCTAAGAAGGTTCCTGTTCCCATGGAGCTTGTGTTCTGGGGTGGATGCTTAACAAATATATACTGAGATCTATTAAATGCCATGAAAAATAAATACAGAATGATGGGGCATACCCAAACTTTTATTTTGATAGGATAGTAGGAAATGCTTCTTTATAGTGACATCTACGTAGGGCTTCCCAGGTGGTGCCAGTCCTAAAGAACCCACCTGCCAATGCAGGAGATGTGGGTTCAATCCCTGGGTTGGGAAGATCCTCTAGAGGAGGGCATGGCAACCCACTCCAGTATTTTTGCCTGGAGAATCCCATGGACAGAGGAGCCTGGCGGCCTACAGTCCATAGGGTCACAGAGTCAGACACGACTGAAGTGACAGCATGTACGCACTAGGTAGGGACCTGAATGAAAGGAGAGAACAAGTCATGTATACCTAAGGGAAGGTGTTCCAGTCATGTAGAACAAGTGCAAAAGTCTTCATATTGCCTTGATCTATCAAAATCTGAAAGGTAGAGTGTTGGTCTCCTACTAAGACTGCAGCTTTGCCAAATTCCTGTATATGTAACAGTCTTCGCTTTATATATTTCACATCTTACTCAATGCATGATTCATTCATTGACATCTTGCAGCTATGAAATGTCCCTTTGCCCCATTTAATGCTTTCTGATATTAAATTTCTGACTTTTTCACTATTACCACTCCTTTCTGCTTGCATTTGCCTAATACATCCTCCTTGCTCCTGTTTTCAACATTTGGGTGTCATTTTGAGAACATGAGGTAATTTGATTTTCAGCCCTATTGGGAGCTCTTAACTTTGCAATCACATTTTTTTATTGATATGCTTGGTCTTATTTTTGCTGTCTTTTACTTTTCTTCCCCCTTTTAAAAACCTTTTCCTGACTTCTGGTGTAATAAGATCTTCACTCCCTTTTTTAAAAACTCAGTTTGGAAGTCCTGTATCCTGGTATTGAGAAGTAGAATATGACTTGTAATAACCCTTGCACTCCCATTCCTCACACAAGACTTTTAGAACATTTTTCCCTTCAGCCCTCTGGAAAATTTAAAAGTAATTTATAGCTTCTCGGGTTTTCATTTTGAACTGCCTTAGGTAAAGCACGGATTAAATGTTTTCTGCTTGGCAACAGCCTTATTTTACTGGTACCAAAATATTACTTTACCACAAAATTTACATCAGTAATTTTTTTCACAGGTGCTTGCTGTTGTTTAAAAAAAAAGAAGTCATACATTAGGACCTTGTAGCTTCAGAAGATAGAAATGGTTCTTGCTGACACTTTCAGAACCATGAACTTCTAGCTCTGGCTTTTACTCATAGTCATGTTTGCAGAACAATGAACAAAAGACTCTATAGACATTGAATTGCACTGAGTTTTAATTGAAAACATTAAAACAGCCTGACTACCCATAATGAATTATAAAACTTGATAGTTAAGTTGTACTGTCATTTATGAAGCTTTTACTCATTATTTTGTAGACCTGAAAGAAACTTTGCATACTTCTGTTTTCTGTTCTTCATTTCAGAGGAAGATTGTGAGAAGGTCTAAAGTATTTATAAATCAAAACCCAAAAGAGAAAGGAAACATGGAGAAAACAAAATCCATACACAGCTGAGCATAGGGGGTTTTTAGCTTATGTTTTATATATGAAAACAATTTAGCTCATGTCACACAAAACAAAAGCAGGTACAACAGTAAAGCTGAATCATGAAAACCCCGATCAATTATTTTTAGCATGTCTCTTAACTTTTCGTTCCCCTGGTTTCTTGTCTTCTGTGCTTGAGTCTTGAACAGGTAACCACTTGAGGGGGTGCCGGCGATAAATGGGCCATGGAGGAAGTGTCAGCTGGGTCAGAACAGAAAATCAATTATGGCCGTTAGAAGCTTAAAAGAGTATTATGTATTATGCCTGGTTCCCAAATGACTCCTTTGCTACAGGTAAAAACAAGGAAACCCACATTCCTATGAAAACTCTGTGCCATCACCCAGACAAGATACTTTGAGAACAAGCCTCACGTGGCTTTAAAAGCTAAAAGAAAGGTGAGGAGGGAGCAATGTGAAGACCATAAGGTCTTAAGTTCTAGCTCTGACTTTTAAGATTACTGCTTGGAGCAACTGCCAAAAGAAATAAGCTTTATGCAACTTAACGTCATCTGATGCTATCTGGCATTGAAACGTTGTGCGGATTCTCAGTACTACATCCAAGCAAAATAACCCAATTCAGAAAACCTAGCTTGCCACTAACATCCAAGCACCCATAAATTTCTTACCAAACAAGAAAAAGCAAATCCAGCCATAACTATATAGACAGTCCACCCGAACTGTTCAGCCAGGTACCCGTAGATAAATCCAACTATCTAAAGACAAAGAAAGTATATTAAATACAGTCAAGCTGGGGGTGAGGGTGGAAAAGATTATGTAAATCCAATACTTACTGCAGAAAAAAGAATAATTCCCTGAAACATTTGTTCAGCTAGCTTCTGGCCCTTGTAATCCTAGAGGTGAAGAGCAAAGCAGGAATTGGTTCCACCACCGAAGAGGTACGTTACTGCCCGGGTCTCACAGCTTTGGCACCAGGGCATTCCCAACATATGGGGCTCCCCCAAGAACCTAAGCAAGGAATGCCATTCTGGGTTTCCCGGGGGAACCGAAGCATACTCACGGAGCCCAGGGAGGGGCACCCTTGTGGCGGGGGAGAGAAAAGGGCACCAGGTAGGCACAACTCGGCAAAAGAGTAGCCATTCGCGGCAGCACCCGCGCCGCACGGGGTAGGTCTCGGACAAGGGTTGCGAAGCTACCAGGCTCGCCAGCGGCTTGCAGGGATCATAGGGCCCAAGC